CTAGTTCTATAGGTGAGCGAGTCGCTAGTTCTATAGGTGAGTGAGTCGCTAGTTCTATAGGTGAGCGAGTCGCTAGTTCTATAGGTGAGTGAGTCGCTAGTTCTATAGGTGAGTGAGTCGCTAGTTCTATAGGTGAGCAAGTCGCTAGTTCTATAGGTGAGTGAGTCGCTAGTTCTATAGGTGAGCGAGTTGCTAGTTCTATAGGTGAGTGAGTCGCTAGTTCTATAGGTGAGCGAGTCGCTAGTTCTATAGGTGAGCGAGTCACTAGTTCTATAGGTGATTGAGTCGCTAGTTCTATAGGTGAGCGAGTCGCTAGTTCTATAGGTGAGTGAGTCGTTAGTTCTATAGGTGAGCGAGTCGCTAGTTCTATAGGTGAGTGAGTCGCTAGTTCTATAGGTGAGTGAGTCGCTAGTTCTATAGGTGAGCGAGTCGCTAGTTCTATAGGTGAGTGAGTCGCTAGTTCTACAGGTGAGTGAGTCGCTAGTTCTATAGGTGAGTGAGTCGCTAGTTCTATAGGTGAGTGAGTCGCTAGTTCTATTGGTGAGCGAGTCACTAGTTCTATAGGTGAGCGAGTCGCTAGTTCTATAGGTGAGTGAGTCGCTAGTTCTATAGGTTAGTGAGTCGCTAGTTCTATAGGTTAGTGAGTCGCTAGTTCTACAGGTGAGCGAGTCGCTAGTTCTACAGGTGAGTGAGTCGCTAGTTCTACAGGTGAGTGAGTCGCTAGTTCTATAGGTGAGCGAGTCGCTAGTTCTATAGGTGAGTGAGTCGCTAGTTCTATAGGTGAGCGAGTCGCTAGTTCTATAGGTGAGTGAGTCGCTAGTCTATAGGTGAGTGATTCGCTAGTTCTATAGGTGAGTGAGTCGCTAGTTCTATAGGTGAGCGAGTCACTAGTTCTATAGGTGAGCGAGTCGCTAGTTCTATAGGTGAGGTGAGTCGCTAGTTCTATAGGTTAGTGAGTCGCTAGTTCTATAGGTTAGTGAGTCGCTAGTTCTACAGGTGAGCGAGTCGCTAGTTCTACAGGTGAGTGAGTCGCTAGTTCTACAGGTGAGTGAGTCGCTAATTCTATAGGTGAGCGAGTCGCTAGTTCTATAGGTGAGTGAGTCGCTAGTTCTATAGGTGAGCGAGTCACTAGTTCTATAGGTGAGTGAGTCGCTAGTTCTATAGGTGAGTGAGTCGCTAGTTCTATCGGTGAGTGAGTCACTAGTTCTATAGGTGAGCGAGTCGCTAGTTCTATAGGTGAGCGAGTCGCTAGTTCTATAGGTGAGTGAGTCGCTAGTTCTATAGGTGAGCGAGTCGCTAGTTCTATAGGTGAGTGAGTCGCTAGTTCTATAGGTGAGCGAGTCGCTAGTTCTATAGGTGAGTGAGTCGCTAGTTCTATAGGTGAGTGAGTCGCTAGTTCTATAGGTGAGCAAGTCGCTAGTTCTATAGGTGAGTGAGTCGTTAGTTCTATTGGTGAGCGAGTCGCTAGTTCTATAGGTGAGTGAGTCGCTAGTTCTATAGATGAGTGAGTCGCTAGTTCTATAGGTGGGCGAGTCGCTAGTTCTATAGGTGAGTGAGTCGCTAGTTCTACAGGTGAGCGAGTCGCTAGTTCTATAGGTGAGTGAGTCGCTAGTTCTATAGGTGAGTGAGTTGCTAGTTCTATAGGTTAGTGAGTTGCTAGTTCTATAGGTGAGTGAGTCGCTAGTTCTATAGGTGAGTGAGTCGCTAGTTCTATAGGTGAGTGAGTCGCTACTTCTATAGGTGAGCGAGTCACTAGTTCTATAGGTGAGTGAGTCGCTAGTTCTATAGGTGAGTGAGTCGCTAGTTCTATAGGTGAGTGAGTCACTAGTTCTATAGGTGAGCGAGTCGCTAGTTCTATAGGTGAGCGAGTCGCTAATTTTATAGGTGAGCGAGTCACTAGTTCTATAGGTGAGCGAGTCACTAGTTCTATAGGTGAGTGAGTCGCTAGTTCTATAGGTGAGTGAGTCGCTATTTCTATCGGTGAGTGAGTCACTAGTTCTATAGGTGAGCGAGTCGCTAGTTCTATAGGTGAGCGAGTCGCTAGTTCTATAGGTGAGTGAGTCGCTAGTTCTATAAGTGAGCGAGTCGCTAGTTCTATAGGTGAGTGAGTCGCTAGTTCTATAGGTGAGCGAGTCGCTAGTTCTATAGGTGAGTGAGTCGCTAGTTCTATAGGTGAGTGAGTCGCTAGTTCTATAGGTGAGCAAGTCGCTAGTTCTATAGGTGAGTGAGTCGCTAGTTCTATAGGTGAGCGAGTCGCTAGTTCTATAGGTGAGTGAGTCGTTAGTTCTATTGGTGAGCGAGTCGCTAGTTCTATAGGTGAGCGAGTCGTTAGTTCTATTGGTGAGCGAGTCGCTAGTTCTATAGGTGAGTGAGTCGCTAGTTCTATAGGTGAGTGAGTCGCTAGTTCTATAGGTGAGCGAGTCGCTAGTTCTATAGGTGAGTGAGTCGCTAGTTCTACAGGTGAGCGAGTCGCTAGTTCTATAGGTGAGTGAGTCGCTAGTTCTATAGGTGAGTGAGTTGCTAGTTCTATAGGTTAGTGAGTTGCTAGTTCTATAGGTGAGTGAGTCGCTAGTTCTATAGGTGAGTGAGTCGCTAGTTCTATAGGTGAGTGAGTCGCTAGTTCTATAGGTGAGCGAGTCACTAGTTCTATAGGTGAGTGAGTCGCTAGTTCTATAGGTGAGTGAGTCGCTAGTTCTATAGGTGAGTGAGTCACTAGTTCTATAGGTGAGCGAGTCGCTAGTTCTATAGGTGAGCGAGTCGCTAGTTCTATAGGTGAGCGAGTCACTAGTTCTATTAGTGAGCGAGTCACTAGTTCTATAGGTGAGTGAGTCGCTAGTTCTATAGGTGAGTGAGTCGCTAGTTCTATAGGTGAGTGAGTCGCTAGTTCTATAGGTGAGTGAGTTGTTAGTTCTATAGGTGAGTGTGTCGCTAGTTCTATAGGTGAGTGAGTCGCTAGTTCTATAGGTGAGTGAGTCGCTAGTTCTATAGGTGAGTGAGTCGCTAGGTTCTATAGGTGAGCGAATCACTAGTTCTACAGGTGAGTGAGTCGCTAGTTCTATAGGTGAGTGAGTCACTAGTTCTATAGGTGAGTGAGTCGCTAGTTCTATAGGTGAGTGAGTCGTTAGTTCTATAGGTGAGTGAGTCGCTAGTTCTATAGGTGAGTGAGTCGCTAGTTCTATAGGTGAGTGAGTCGCTAGTTCTATAGGTGAGTGAGTCGCTAGTTCTATAGGTGAGTTAGTCGCTAGTTCTATAGGTGATTGAGTCGCTAGTTCTATAGGTGAGCGAGTCGCTAGTTCTATAGGTGAGTGAGTCGCTAGTTCTATAGGTGAGTGAGTCGCTAGTTTTATAGGTGAGTGAGTCGCTAGTTGTGTGATTGAGCGAGTCGCTAGTTCCATAGGTGAGTGAGTCGCTAGTTCTATAGGTGAGTGAGTCGCTAGTTCTATAGGTGAGTGAGTCACTAGTTCTATAGGTGAGCGAGTCGCTAGTTCTATAGGTGAGCGAGTCGCTAGTTCTATAGGTGAGCGAGTCACTAGTTCTATTAGTGAGCGAGTCACTAGTTCTATAGGTGAGTGAGTCGCTAGTTCTATAGGTGAGTGAGTCGCTAGTTCTATAGGTGAGTGAGTCGCTAGTTCTATAGGTGAGTGAGTTGTTAGTTCTATAGGTGAGTGTGTCGCTAGTTCTATAGGTGAGTGAGTCGCTAGTTCTATAGGTGAGTGAGTCGCTAGTTCTATAGGTGAGTGAGTCGCTAGTTCTATAGGTGAGCGAATCACTAGTTCTACAGGTGAGTGAGTCGCTAGTTCTATAGGTGAGTGAGTCACTAGTTCTATAGGTGAGTGAGTCGCTAGTTCTATAGGTGAGTGAGTCGTTAGTTCTATAGGTGAGTGAGTCGCTAGTTCTATAGGTGAGTGAGTCGCTAGTTCTATAGGTGAGTGAGTCGCTAGTTCTATAGGTGAGTGAGTCGCTAGTTCTATAGGTGAGTTAGTCGCTAGTTCTATAGGTGATTGAGTCGCTAGTTCTATAGGTGAGCGAGTCGCTAGTTCTATAGGTGAGTGAGTCGCTAGTTCTATAGGTGAGTGAGTCGCTAGTTTTATAGGTGAGTGAGTCGCTAGTTCTATAGGTGAGTGAGTCGCTAGTTGTGTGATTGAGTGAGTCGCTAGTTCTATAGGTGAGTGAGTCGCTAGTTCTATAGGTGAGTTAGTCGCTAGTTCTATAGGTGATTGAGTCGCTAGTTCTATAGGTGAGTGAGTCGCTAGTTCTATAGGTGAGTGAGTCGCTAGTTCTATAGGTGAGTGAGTCGCTAGTTCTATAGGTGAGTGAGTCGCTAGTTCTATAGGTGAGTGAGTCGCTAGTTGTGTGATTGAGTGAGTCGCTAGTTCCATAGGTGAGTGAGTCGCTAGTTCTATAGGTGAGTGAGTCGCTAGTTGTGTGGGTGAGTCGCTAGTTCTATAGGTGAGTGAGTCGCTAATTCTATAGGTGAGTGAGTCGCTAGTTCTATAGGTGAGTGAGTCGCTAGTTGTGTGGGTGAGTCGCTAGTTCTATAGGTGAGTGAGTCGCTAATTCTTTAGGTGAGTGAGTCGCTAGTTCTATAGGTGAGTGAGTCGCTAGTTGTGTGGGTGAGCGAGTCGCTAGTTCTATAGGTGAGCGAGTCGCTAGTTGTGTGGGTGAGCGAGTCGCTAGTTCTATAGGTGAGTGAGTCGCTAGTTGTGTGGGTGAGCGAGTCGCTAGTTCTATAGGTGAGCGAGTCGCTAGTTGTGTGGGTGAGTGAGTCGCTAGTTCTATAGGTGAGTGAGTCGCTAGTTGTGTGGGTGAGCGAGTCGCTAGTTCTATAGGTGAGCGAGTCGCTAGTTGTGTGGGTGAGTGAGTCGCTAGTTCTATAGGTGAGCGAGTCGCTAGTTGTGTGGGTGAGCGAGTCGCTAGTTCTATAGGTGAGTGAGTCGCTAGTTGAGTGGGTGATACTCCCCTCACCACCCCCTACACCCCCACGGCCACTACCCTGGCAGGCTTCATCCAGGCGTGCCGGGCCCTCGTCATCACATCCATCATCCTGGGCTTCTTCGCCAGCCTGCTCGCCTTCCTGGGCATGCAGTGCACCTCGCTGCTGACCGTCGACGTCGCCACAAAGGGACGCATCACTTTCGCCGCGGGGGTCATCTACATCATGGAAGGTGGCTCGCACACTGCTCCGACCCAGAGATTGAGACCCGGTGGCTCCGAGTCTCAATCGGCGCTCTCTCAGAGTCTCAATCGGAGCCTCATTCGGAGCTCCACCCTGAGACCCGGTGGCTCCGAGTCTCAATCGGAGCTCCGACGCTGAGACCCGGTGGCTCCGAGTCTCAATCGGAGCTCCACCCTGAGACCCGGTGGCTCCGAGTCTCAGTCGGAGCTCCGACGCTGAGACCCGGTGGCTCCGAGTCTCAGTTGGAGCTCCGACCCAGAGACCCGGTGGCTCCGAGTCTCAATCGGAGCTCCACCCTGAGACCCGGTGGCTCCGAGTCTCAATCGGAGCTCCACCCTGAGACCCGGTGGCTCCGAGCCTCAGTCGGAGCTCCAACCCTGAGACCCGGTGGCTCTGAGCCTCAGTCGGAGCTCCGACGCTGAGACCTAGTGGCTCTGAGCCTCAATCGGAGCTCCACCCTGAGACCCGGTAGCTCTGAGTCTCAATCGGAGCTCCACCTTGAGACCCGGTGGCTTCGAGCCTCAATCGGAGCTCCACCCTGAGACCCGATAGCTCTGAGTCTCAATCGAAGCTCCACCCTGAGACCCGGTGGCTCCGAGTCTCAGTCGGAGCTCCACCCTGAGACCCGGTGTCTCCGAGTCTCAGGGTGGAGCTCCGAGCGAGTCACTCCGAGTCTCAGGGTGGAGCTCCGACCTCATTCGGAGCTCCACCCTGAGACCCGGTGGCTCCGAGTCTCAATCGGAGCTCCGACGCTGAGACCCGGTGGCTCCGAGTCTCAGTTGGAGCTCCGACCCAGAGACCCGGTGGCTCCGAGTCTCAATCGGAGCTCCACCCTGAGACCCGGTGGCTCCGAGTCTCAATTGGAGCTCCACCCTGAGACCCGGTGGCTCCGAGCCTCAGTCGGAGCTCCAACCCTGAGACCCGGTGGCTCTGAGCCTCAGTCGGAGCTCCGACGCTGAGACCTAGTGGCTCTGAGCCTCAATCGGAGCTCCACCCTGAGACCCGGTAGCTCTGAGTCTCAATCGGAGCTCCACCTTGAGACCCGGTGGCTTCGAGCCTCAATCGGAGCTCCACCCTGAGACCCGGTAGCTCTGAGTCTCAATCGAAGCTCCACCCTGAGACCCGGTGGCTCTGAGTCTCAGTCGGAGCTCCACCCTGAGACCCGGTGGCTCAGAGTCTCAGTCGGAGCTCCACCCTGAGACCCGGTGGCTCCAAGCCTCAATCGGAGCTCCACCCTGAGACCCGGTGGCTCCGAGTCTCAGTCGGAGCTCCACCCTGAGACCCGGTGGCTCCAAGCCTCAATCGGAGCTCCACCCTGAGACCCGGTGTCTCCGAGTCTCAGGGTGAAGCTCCACCCTGAGACCTGGTGGCTCCGAGTCTCAGGGTGGAGCTCCGAGCGAGTCACTCCGAGTCTCAGGGTGGAGCTCCGACCCTGAGACCCGGTGGCTCCGAGTCTCAATCGGAGCTCCACCCTGAGACCCAGTGGCTCCGAGTCTCAGTCGGAGCTCCACCCTGAGACCCTGCGCGTGTGTGTGTGTGTGCCACCCTGTGTGTGTGCCACCCTGTGTATGTGTGTGTATGTGTGTGTGTGCGTGCCAGGGCTGTCCGAGCTGATCGCCATCTCGTGGTACGCCACGCAGGTCGTCAACGAGTTCTTTGACCCGCTCTTCCCGGGCACCAAGTGAGGGTCCGAGTCGTGACGCGGTGGGGGGGGGGGGGGGTCTTGGGGGGGGGGGTGGTGTAGTGGTGGTGGTGGGGTCTTGGGGGGGGGTGTCAACCTCACATATTGTTAACGTCACCCAACAACCTCGATCATTGTGTGTCTGCGAGTATCGGTGTGTGTGGTGATGATTGATGCAATGGTTAGCGCTACGCTGCTAGGTGCTGCTACTCGCTACTAACAGCACTTGCCCCTACAGTCTGTCAAGGCTACACGGGGATCTTTGTCTGTGTCTACCTTCATAGGTGCTGCTGCTACTCGCTACTAACAGCACTTGCCCCTACAGTCTGTCGAGGCTACACGGGGGATCTTTGCCTGTGTCTACCTTCATAGGTGCTGCTACTCGCTACTAACAGGACTTGCCCCTACAGTCTGTGGAGGCTACACGGGGGATCTTTGCCTGTGTCTACCTTCATAGGTGCTACTCACGTGTGTATCTCCGCGTGTATCACGGTTGTACGTAGGCAACTGCCACTCGCTAGGAGGCAAGCACTTGCCCCGTCAGCCTGCCTGAGGCTACGCGGGGGACCTTTGTCTTTGCAGGTACGAGCTGGGCGAGGCGCTGTACGTGGGCTGGGCAGGCTCGGCGCTCTGCGTGTCGGGGGGCCTCATCCTGTGCACCGTGTGCTTCACCAACGCTCGCTCCGCCGCGGCCGGGTGAGTCCTCCTCCACCGTGGGGACCTCTTCCATCCATGGGGCGCTCCTCCAGCGTGGGGCGCTCCTCCACCGTGGGGACCTCCTCCATCCATGGGGCGCTCCTCCAGCGTGGGGCGCTCCTCCACCGTGGGGACCTCCTCCATCAGTGGGGTCCTCCTTCATCGTGGAGTTTTCCTCCATCATGAGGTCCTCCTCCACCCGTGGGGTCCTCCTCCATCAGTGGGGTTCTCCTCCACCGTGGGGTCCTCCTCCATCAGTGGGGTTCTCCTCCACCGTGGGGTTCTCCTCCTCCATCAGTGGGGTTTTCCTCCACCGTGGGGCGCTCCTCCACCGTGGGGTTCTCCTCCATCGTGGGGTTCTCCTCCACCGTGGGGTTCTCCTCCTCCATCCGTGGCGTTCTCCTCCATCTGTGGGGTCCTCCTCCACCGTGGGGTTCTCCTCCTCCATCAGTGGGGTTTTCCTCCACCGTGGGGCGCTCCTCCACCGTGGGGTTCTCCTCCATCGTGGGGTTCTCCTCCATCGTGGGGTTCTCCTCCATCCATGGGGTTCTCCTCCACCGTGGGGACCTCCTCCACCGTGGGGCGCTCCTCCATCCATGGGGTTCTCCTCCACCGTGGGGTTCTCCTCCACCGTGGGGACCTCCTCCACCGTGGGGCGCTCCTCCATCAGTGGGGTTCTCCTCCACCGTGGGGCGCTCCTCCACCACGGGGTTCTCCTCCACCCGTGGGGTTCTCCTTCATCCGTGGGGTTCTCCTCCACTGTGGGGCGCTCCTCCATCAGTGGGGTCCTCCTCCATCAGTGGGGTTCTCCTCCACCGTGGGGTCCTCCTCTACTGTGGGGTTCTCCTCCATCGTGGGGCGCTCCTCCATCAGTGGGGTCTTCCTCCATCCATGGGGTTCTCCTCCATCATGAGGTCCTCCTCCACCCGTGGGGTTTTTCTCCATCTCTGGGGTCCTCCTCCACTGTGGGGCGCTCCTCATTTCATGGATTCTCCTCCGCCGTGGGGTCATCTCGACCTTGGGGGCCCTCCATAGTAATACCCCTCCGTCGAGTGACGTCACTTGACGTCCAGTGACGTCATGTCACGTCCAGTGACGTCACGTGACGTCACTGTACTTCCAGTGACGTCCAGTGACGTCCGGCGATGTCACGTGACGTCACATGACACCGCGTGACGTCACGTGACGTAGCTTGACCTCCCCTCCGTTGTGGAGGCTCAACCTTAGGAGGATGTTTCTCAGGACCTTGAACAGCGAGTCCAGGCTCTTGCACTCCACGTATTGGTGCGCCACCGTCTCCACTTTACCGCAGAACCGGCACTCCGGGGACGTGTTGGTGAAGCGCGCCGGGGAGGCGTTGGTGGTGACGGTGCTGTGGGCGATGCTCCGGCTGAGGCCGCCGATGCGGTTGTACGTCGGGCTGGATGACGGGGAGCTCTGCATGTTGATATGAGCTACCCGTCGGAGGCCGTCGGACTGCGAGAAGGGCTGCGTGCAGAACGAGAGAGAGCGTGAGAGAGTGAGCGAGAGAGCGAGCGAGAGAGTGAGCGAGAGAGCGAGCGAGAGGGCGAGCGAGAGAGCGAGCGAGAGAGCGACCGAGAGAGCGAGCGAGAGAGCGAGCGAGAGGGCGAGCGAGAGGGCGAGCGAGAGAGCGAGCGAGTGAGCGAGCGAGAGGGCGACCGAGAGGGCGAGCGAGAGGGCGAGCGAGAGGGCGAGCGAGAGGGCGACCGAGAGAGCGACCGAGAGAGCGAGCGAGAGAGCGAGCGAGCGAGTGAGCGAGAGGTGGGGGTTTACATAAAGCAAAGTTTAAAAAAATAAAATTACGAAATTGATGATCGAAGCAAAATGGCGACTACACTGAGCATCTTCTTGTTTCCACTGATCGTAAAAAATAAGGAGTAGAGTCTTACTCTCTCCCCCCCCTCTCTCTCCCATCTCTCTCCTCCCTCTCTCCTCCACGTGCACACTCCTCTCCACAGGCAGTACAACTACGGAGGGCTCGTCCCCATGGCGACCGTGCAGACGATGGAGGCCGGCAGCATGGACCGCAGGAGGCCGTCGTCGCTGCGACAGAACCCGCAGGGCGAGCGACTCCGGGCGGCCAGGTGAGTTCTAGAGGTCGCAAACGGGTTTTGATTCCTTACCCGTACCCGTACCCGGCCGCACCAGGGTCGCAAATGGGTACCCGTACCCGTACCCTACCTGATACCCGGCTACCCGTACCCGGCCGGGTATCGGGGAGGGTACGGGTATCGGGTACCTGATTGCGACCTCTGGGATGAAGCCACGTTGCAGGCGCGGGTGGGTTGATTCTAGGAACTTGAATTGTGAGAAGAGACAAGACGTTGGGAGATGAGTGACAAACGGTTACTCACCAGTGACTCACGGCCTACCCGTACCCGTACCCGGCCGCACCAGGGTCGCAAACGGCTACCCGTACCCGTACGGGTAGCCGGGTAGCCGTTCCCTACCCGTACCCGTACCCTACCCGAAATGAGTGACAAACGGTGACCTCGCTCCGCCCTCGGCCACGCCTTCTTCTGGATCTCACCAGAAGGTTCTCAGCCACTCACCACGTGCCCCGTCGCTACCCTATCCCGGTCACGTGCCCTCTCAGGTTCACCCAGACTGTCACGTGTTCATACTCTTAGTTCTTTCGGTAAAGTCACGTAGGTCAAAAATGAAATAAAAATAAAATAAAAATCACGACGTTTTGGAGGCAGCACAAGTCTTGAAAACAAAATTAATAAAAATGAAATAAAAATCACGACGTTTCGGAGGCAACACAAGACTTGTGTTGCCTCCGAAACGTGACAGACCTGTTCTTCACCTGAGGACGGCTGCTTGCGTTGTGGCCGAAACGTCGCGAGAATTGTATTTTATTATGTTTTATTTTTTATTATTTTATTATTTCCCTTCCACGTGACTTTACCGAAAGAACCAAGAAGATGAATCCTATTGCTTTATTGGAATTGTTTTATTTCTTATTGTTATTATAATTTTATTTACTTAACTTAACAATTCTTCTACGTTTGATTGTTCCATTTCAATTAGAGCGTTTTAAAACATTAATTGAAAATGTTATTATTTTATTATTTCCCTTCTACGTGACGTTACCGAAAGAACTAAGAGTATGAACATGTGACAGTCACGAAAGCTTCAAATCTAGAAGTCACGTGCTCACTTGCCCTCGCTGTGACGGTCACCAGAACGATGCCCCCTAGCGCCCGCTCCCAATGCCCTACCCACTCTGGTGCCAGAGGGAGACTCAAGACGCGCAGTTTCCACTCTCGTGGCAGTAGCTGGCACTGAACGCACTCGTGACTCCATTTACGTCACCACACTAGTACAGCACCACAACGGTTGTGTGTTGGAGGGCCAAGCCACGGCATTTACAATTTGATCCTGAACCCTGACGCTGCCTGCTGCTGTATATTCGTAGTCTGCGTGTCTCTAGAGAGAGAGAGACACGCAGACTCCAAATCTACAGCAGCAGGCGTAAGGGTCGAGATCGTACCCACGACTTCCTGCACACCAGGCGAGGTAGTCAACATCTCCTAGCCACCCTGATGATGATGATGAGTGAGAAGTCAATTGCATACACCATTATTATTATTATAAGAGCATGTTTGTTTGCATGGTTTGCCACAAGTATGTGTGGCGAACACAGGCGTGATGCCTTGCAATAGGCGTATCTATTTGGTGTTTGAACAGCTTAACACCTCCTGTTTGATTGCCAGAAAGGGTAAAGTCTATTCTTATACTCAACACTGCACCATAGACTCAGCACTGCCCATAGACTCAACACTGCACCATATACTCAACACTGCACCATAGACTCAACACTGCCCATAGACTAACACTGCACCATAGATTCAACACTGCCCATAGACTCAACACTGCCCATAGACTCAACACTGCACCATAGACTCAACACTGCCCATAGACTCAACACTGCCCATAGACTAAACACCGCCCGTAGACTCAACACTGCACCATAGACGCAACACTGCCCTTAGACTCAACACTGCCCTTTGACTCAACACTGGCCATGGAATCAACACTGCCCAAATAATCAACACTGCACCATAGACTCAACACTGCCCAATAGACTCAACACTGCCCATAGACTCAACACCGCCCTTAGACTCAACACTGCCCATAGACTCAACACTGCCCATAGACTCAACACTACCCATAGACTCAACACTGCCCATAGACTCAATAATACTGCACCATAGACTCAACACTGCCCATAGACTCAGCACTGTCCATGAGTGGCTGGGTGGATTGGTAGCTGGGTGGTTGAGTGGCTGGGTAGTTGAGTGGCTGCGTGGCTGGGTAACTGGGTGACTGGCTAACTTGGTGGGTGGCTGGATGGTTTTGTTTCTGGGTGGTTGAGTGGCTGGGTAGTTAGGTAACTGGGTAACTTGGTAACTGGGTTAATTGGGTGGCTACACGGGCCGCCCTGTCCGCTGTGTGTGTCCGCGCGCAGCCGGGGCCGCCACTTCAGTTTCTCGTCGTCCCAAATGCCGGACATCGAGGAGGACGTGGGGATGTCGTCATACGGGGGCGGCAATCAGCCGGTGCGCTGGCCCGACTCGGAGAGCCAGATGAAGAACGTGCGCCGGGGATACGTCTAGTGGTGGTCACCAACGCCACCGCCGCCGCCACCACCGCCACCACTGCCACCGCTACCACCACCAACACCGCCGCCACCGCCACCACCACCACCGCCACCACCGCCACCACCGCCATCACCGCCACCACCGCCACCGCCGCCGCCACCACTGCCGCCACCGCCGCCACCACCACCTCCACCACCGCCACCACCTCCATCTCCACCACCACCGCCACTGCCAGCACTACCACCACCGCCACCACCTCCACCACCACCACCACCGCCACCACCTCCATCTCCACCACCACCACCGCCACCACCTCCACCACCACCGCCACCACCACCGCCACCACCACCTCCACCACCTCCACCACCACCTCCAC